CTAGAGGTCCCTCGGAAACTAACGATGCATGCTTCCGCCTTGGGAAGCAAGTTGACTTTGGCTTTCTGGGTCTGAATTGAAACATTCCATTCTGGTCCTCACCTTGAAGAAAGAGGTTTGGAGTTTCCACTCTTTTCAATGTGCTTGCAGCGCAAGCAAGCTTGATCCACCTCTTCAGACAAGTTTCCCACAGGTTTCCTTTGGTTGTTGAAGCGCCACAGGCATGTGGGTTCCGACGGTACTCTGGAACCCGTTGGGCAGCACAACCGCTGGCGGATGGACTGCGAGAAATATCTGGAGCTCCATGTTCTTTGAAATCTAAGTGAATTTGTCCGATGCGAATTTTTGTGTCGATGCGAATTACAGTGGAGTGGACAGGAATGTTTGATTTGAATATGGGGCGATATACGTTTTGCATGGTTAGTACGTTGAAATCCGCATGGCTCTCTGCTATGCGATGTATAAGCTCTGTTTCTGCATGCTGCGCAATGCTCCAGCTTGTTGAAATGGGTTTGCCAAAGTTTGCACCAAGCAGGACGTGCCAACTTCGAACAAGGCTCCACTGCTGAGATCCATGCTTGGGGGGTGTTGAGCAAATCCTGTTGCAAGGATTCTTGGCAAAATGCAGGCCCACAAGTGAGGAATGGACCAATAAACATTGCGAAGTGAAGCATGGTGATCATAGACCCATTACAGGATATAGCTTGGCAACATTCGTGGCGGGGATCAACAACAACTTGTTGTTCTTGCTTCTAGTAAAAAAGTTAGCAGCACATGATGAATCGTCACAGCTGCTCTGTGGCCGGAAACATCAAAATGTTCCATACCTCAACTCCAAGATCCGAAGATGATGGGGTTGCTTCAGATTTCGTCGGTTGTATCGTAGCACCCAAGACTGGAGGCATGTGAGCTCATGTGCTGATTTACCATTTGGTATTTCTTTCCATGTGTTGACTTCAGCTTGGTTTCTTCAGCAACGACCTGGCAGACTTTCCCATTCGGGCCATGTGATTCAGTCCGCATATCACGCCAAGTTGTCGGTGAGATGGTGGGCCGCTGAGTCGGGCGGTCATTCGGGTTTCCTTGTGTCTGCTAGACAAACGTTCTGTCTGAAGCCAGGCCATTTTGTCGCAACCGCCGCGAAGCTGGACAGTACAAGTGTTTCGGCAAGCCGGAATACCATGCGCTGCCAATGCTAAACAGGATGTCCGGCACACCGCCAAAGCGCAGGTTGGTTTTTGAGTCAAGCGAGCAATGGAGCGTCTCTGCTCTGTGCATGTCAGTTCGCGGCTTTCGGCGAATGTGCAACGAAAGCCTGCAAGAGCCAGGAGCAGAGTCGGAGCAGAGTCGGCAGCGTGTTAACTGCCCATGTTGTCTTAGGCGGATGAGCTGCGGCCTTCCAGAAGTCAGAACAGCAGGCGCGTTTTGTTGATTCACGGCTTTTATGCCTTTCAAGTGTTGATTCCATCCATGTGCACGAAGGCCTTCTCGAAGTGTTCGCATCTCAGCCACGACAGCCGGAGCATTTCCGTTTATGGCATGTGCTCCATGAGAGCTCTGCACTTGCTTGAGTCGAGGAGCCAAGGCGACCCGAACGAGGCCACGTTGCAAGCTCATGTGGCTGAAGTGCATTTTTTGTCACTGCACGCGGCGCTGCCCACTTCCCTCCACTTCGACCTGATTGCTTTGCTGAGCAGCCGTTCCCGCATTGTCTGGTGAATATCAGCACTATCTCTGATTGTCGTAGGTCTAGCGGCAAGCCGTGCAGCCGCAAACTTCAGTCCTGCAGAGGCTCTGCCAGTTCCAGTTGCATGTCACCCGCAGTTGTCGGCAGCTGCGTCGTGAACACCGCACCGTTCAGGATGATGGTGGCACTGGAGGTTCTCACAGTGCCCGGCAGACGTGTTTGCACGGAAACAAGGGGGCGTGCTAAGCGTGAAGTGGACAAGCAGATCACCGCTGCTTTACGATTCTTCGAAGCTGGATGGAGAGCACATGGACCAGCCACAGTTACGACCATACCAGCACTTGCTCGCTCGCTTGCAGAAGATAGAGCAGATGTTGGAAGCATGGTGTTTAATTCGCAACGGACTACCGACTTTTGGCCAGCTAGGCAGCTAGACTGCAAGAACCCACTGGGAATGGAAACTCGCTTCGAGCAGCTACTTCTGGAGCTGGGGCAGGACTAGCGGCAACCAAGGTAGGCCCGTCTATGGAAAAATAGCCAAGTACAGACATCGCAGCCCAATCCTCAGCCATCAGCTGTTGGCCGAATCTTCAAGACCACATCGCTCAATTCAAATCCCGTATGTTTTGAATCCTAAGGCGCAGAAGTAGAAGGATGCTGCCAGTCACAAGACACTTAGGTCTTCCTGTTGTCGGCCCGTTTGGACGGCCGGTTTGTGTCGTAACCGGTGCGGAGACGAAAGGGCCAGCTTATGAAGGCTAGAAGGCAAGAGGCGTTCTTCGGAAATCGCTGCATGGCGGTCATGAAGTTTGATTTGAAATGCCCGTGTACCAGGAGCACCGCCGTGCCATTCGAGATTTGGCAGCATTGAATAGTGATTAGCGTTGCCGGTGTTTGCAGTTGTAACATGTGCGCTTGTTTGCTTCAGGCTGCTGGAAGGAGCGCTTTTGACCCCGGCTGAGTGCTGCAGCATGTCGTGACATGGCCACGCGGTCGGCAGCTGCGGTACAAACGTAGCTATACTTGGGATAGCCCACAGTCCCGCAACCTACGACTGGAATGTGAGACGCTGGAGAGCCGTCTCGGAAGGGGCCTTGAGGTTGGGGTGCTCATGCGTCACCACAGACGGAAAATGATTCGTCACGCATGGAAGACACTCAGACATTCATGCAGTGGCACAGTGCTAGTGGTGCAGGATGAACATGACAAGCTCTTCCAGCAGCTGACGGGTCATCGACCCGGCTCTAAGGCCTTCAGTGCACCGTGAAACAATCCAGGCATACCAACAGCGACTGTGCTTTTTGAGAAGGACAGGGCCCTTGGCCTCGAGAAAGCGGCAGAAGAGCACGCCGCCAGCAACAAACTTCCAGTTGCGTTTGGAAGCTTTTTGACGTGTCGATCCTTCCTACACAGGCTGGCTGGGCATGAGCCGGAAGGCCTCCGGCAACTGGCTGTGCAAGTTCCACACCCACAGAGGCATTTAACCGACATGGTCTGATGGGATGCAGCACAGTTTATCGTTAGTTGGACAGCCTAGATCGCATGGATCTGTAGATTCAGGCATGACCTCGAACAAATCAAGCCTCCTCCGACGGTCGACTTGCTTGCGCTACCGGGGGAGGATCGCAGACCTTCCACTAGTAGCCGTGCTGCAGAGTTGACGTGGGAGCACTGATCAACGCAGCACCGTGCTTAGAGCCCTTGACCAAGTTCCTCACAACTGAGGCTCCTCACGAGTGTCGCCTGCATCGTCTCCGGCGAGCACACCGCGGCAGGATCATCGAGCTTTCGGTAGCCTTCCTGCCATTCCAGACTCTCTCGGTGCCGGCCCAAGGAAAGTGAAATCGTCTTGTTAGCGGGGTGGCATCGCCGCCGATTGCGAGACATAGTGAGTGGCAAGGAGAGGATGTTGACAATCAAAATGGAGCTGCAAGTGCAGCGGACGTGGTATCCAAGCAGCCAAGTCGGCATGTCAAGATTGGTGACACGGAGGCGCACCGTGCTTTGACAGCCGTTGCTGCTCTACTTCTGAATGCTGGGAAGGAAATCGAAGAACATGGGAGCAAGTACCGTTTGGCAAGCCCGCAAACTGGTCGTCCACGAGCCAGATCAACGGACAGCTTCGAGCTCCATATTGATGTGTGCTTCGCTTTGCGCCTACAGCGATTGTAGCAAAGACTTCGTTAATGTCAGGACTCCGGGCACTCTGCTGTCAAAGTCACACCCACGGGTAGACGAGTATCGACAGTGGAAGCTAGCAACGTAACTTGGCAGCAGCTCCGTTGTCTGGTGTTGACCTGTAAGCGGAGAGGTGTTCCTTGGCATTGTGCACAATGTTGTTACAGGCAAGCTATTGTGAGTTCGTTTTGTCAGCTGATTTCAACAGCACTGAGCCTCTGCAGGGATGGGAGATGTGTTTATAGAGATGGAGGCAGAATCACATAAACGAAACATGTCGTGTTTACTAGCCAGCATGCAGATTTGGATCTTGGTGCCTTCGTGGTAGTGAGAGCTAACAAACGTTCAGGTTGCTTTCGTGTCTTGATGGTGGTATTTTGCTCAGACACGAGCACAACAGCTTTAGCTGCCCCGTGGAATTCTGTTCGGGCTATTTGGATCCATCTGCACATGCAGATTGATTCTGCAAAGTGGGTCCAAAACATGTGCAGTGGTTGCTAAGTGATGCTTGCATGCGGCCTGCGAGGTCATGAGCATGTCACTGCAGCTGACCGAGCGTCTTCAGAAGGTCTTCGCTGTGCAGGAGCACTGGCGGGCATGTGGGAGTTTTTGATGATGTCTCCGTTTTCTCCGTCAAGTGATGCAAGGAGCCACAGTCGAAGGCAGCTTGGCACGAAAGCATTCTAATTTCATCCAGCACCGGAGTGCATCCTGTTTGACTGTTTGCGAAGGTCATTACCGGTGCAGAGCTAGCTGCGGTGATGCAGCGGCGACGTGGCTTGTGAGAGTTGTGGGAAGGTATGCTCAGGCGAGAAGTTGTTCGGCAAAAGCGCTTGTCCCAGACTACAAGATTCAATTGGTCATGGTAAGGTGTGGAAAGACATCGTTTGCATGATCTTGTAATCAGTACTGACATGCATTCTTGCGTCTTGCCAGAAGCATGGAGCGGTGTCGAACAAAGGAATCGACGATTTGCGCCGCGCAAAGATAAATCAGAATTCACCAAGGCACCGTATTCTCCATTGCAAGCTTTTTTGGTATGGAGCCGCCGTTCCACCAGGAGAGAATGGAAGACATCATTCGCGAGATGCGGGTCATCGCTGCCAGGACATGGTGCAGTAGCTTCCACGATGTTTGGTGAACGCTAAAGCGACTCTAACGCCTCGGAGTTTCTGGCGCCTGCGCGGTCTGCGAATCTGGACCAATGCAAGCAAGCAGTATGCAACGTACACAAGAACATCTTCTTAACAATAGTCCCAGTCTGGGACTGGGTAGTCGGTTTGTACGCCTGATGCAGATAGCTCTAGACTGTAGATCTGCTGTCCAGGCCTGAATGAAGTCGAATCGCAGGTGCTTGTTGACTGTTGAAACGCTTCCGCTTCCTTTTGGAATCGCTCCGCCGTTTTTCTTTAACGGTCTCCTTATGCATCAACTGGAGCTTCACCAGCGACGGGGCTCTGAAGGAAGTCCTTAACCAGCAGCTTGCTTCGAGCCAGGCTTCGTGGAGATTCGCCGAAGAGAAGCGCAAACCAGCAGCATGTCATTTCGTGGTCTGGCTCTTACGACGGCCCAGGGACGTTGCCGCGCGGCATTTCGAATTCCGACAGGCTCTCCTTCGTGGAGCTCATAGCCATTCCCGACCTCCCCACGCAGGCCAGGCTGCGAGGCTTCTGGTAGACAAGAGCACGTCCTAGCTTTCCGGTGAGGCAAGAGCTGAGATGGTTCAGGCCACGTCAGCCGAACATGGTCAACTGCAGTGGCTCCTGTGTTTTGGCGAATCGGCGGTATCTCACAGTGCAGGACCTGTTTAATGTTCATTCTACGCTTCGTGATGACCGCGTCGTCCACTTCAGTGGCTACGAGGCAAGAGTGGGGAAGCGAGTGCAGGAAGCGAGCTGAGGCCGCCCGGCCATGCACACGTGCGGCAGGTGTTTCGAATGCGAATGATGAGATCAAGTTTTCCGTTAACGAAGGCCGCCGTGTTAAGAGCCCTCCCCTCTCACGGCAGCGATGAATTGTTTGTCGCTTAAACGGCGCGCGAGTACCCCCGCTTCCCGCTTGCAGACCAAGACGCTGCAACAAAGAATTGTTACGACCGTGAATGGTGTTGACACTCGGCTGGAGTCGGCTCGAGCGGCCAGCGGCTAGAGTGTCGTGTTAGGCGTGCCTGCGTCTTAGGGAGATTTGGACTTATTGCTCGCTGCTGCTGCTCAGGCAATGACCTCCATCCTCTTGAGCTTGGTCATACTAGGACCTCGGCGCTTTTTCCAGTCTCGCACACAGATCGATACGGCGTGAGCAAAATTGGAACACGCCTGGGGTTAGGATTCAGCATGGATTACGATCCTGACTGGATGGGCTGGACGATGCTGGAGGCTTTCTTCGCCTTGGCTGCATGCCTGAAAGTGCATGTAAGGATGCCCTTGATGCTGTGGCTGCAGGGATGTTGGTATACCTCGCGTGCTTCTGTGCTGATCGAAGGTCTTTGTGATCGAGGTGGTGGTAAAACTGGCAGTGCTGAGCCCGTGGGTCTATTTCACAGGCACGGACTATGCCTGGAACATAGGCCTGGACTTTATGAGCACATCCTATGTGATGGTCCAATGGTGTAGAGGGCCGCAAGCCTGCTGGGATAGTCTTGGGTCAGGTGACCTGATATTGACGCTCGTCGCCGTTGTAGACGTGGTCATCAGCACGACGGCTTCTTCTGCAAGTTCGGCACGCATGAGTTCTTAAGCCGAAAACAGGTCATTCTAAAACTTGCGTGAAGGGCAGACAGCAGCAGCACATGCAGCACGTGTGATGATACCATCGGCAAAGGTATGATCCTTCGCGGCTTGCGATTATCGCGAGTGGCCAGGCTGATAAAGGCGGGACAGAAAGAACACCACGGCACTCATTAAGCAGGCTGAGAGTATGAGGTTGTGACGCTCGAGGTGTCATGTCTTTCAACCGCTTGTGCATACATTATTCATGAGACATGTTCGGCAGTCATTCGTATCCTTGTTGAGCTCGTTGTGCAGTTGATGCACTGGCCGTTGTTGGCGGAGCTAGCCAACATGATTTCTGAGACTCGGCTCTGAAACCCTGGCGTGGTTGCGTGCCGCAGACCTCAGCGAGCTGAGGCCATGGTGATCGGCGTCCCATGGCTGTTTTGGGTAACGATCCTTCTTTGCGGCTCGGCTGGGTTTACTGCTACGTGCTGCATGCATGTAGCTGTGGCTGCCTGTCACCAGGTGGAGTTCTGTATGTCTGTGCTATAGTTCTCCGAAGCACCGTCAGCGCCGAGTCAATGAGTCTGTTCGGCAGGCCAGGCTCAACCAAACCCCCTGGGCGGGCTTGCAAATCGGCTCCAGTAAGCTTTCCTTTGATTCTGTTCGTTCGTGCCCTGCAGGTGTGGTAGCGGTGACAATTACGACTTTTCTTTGCCTGGCGAGCCCTCCACTGACGGATGCACAATGGCATATCTCTACTTGGGGGAGTATTGCGGGACAGTCTTCACGTGCATGTTCACGGTCGGCGGCCCCAGGATGCTTTGGGCCCTGGGCCCTGGGCCCTTCGCATCACTTCTTCACCCGGCCTCACGCACCTTTCTTAGGTCTTCAGATGCCTGATCGGCGACTGCAACTCGAAAGGCGGGCTTTCAGCGGGCATCCGGGGCCGGGGATTGGCTTGGCTTCTGACGTCTCGCACACGCAGCATCTGGGAACGAGCGGTGCAGGTTTCGAAAGCGCAGTGCAAGACGTGAAGATGAGCTGTGCAAGAGGAATGTCGTGCGAGGAGGATGGAGAGGGCAAAGCTGAGGGAGGAGGACGAGGAGGGGCAGGAGGAGGGAAATGCGAAGCGGGGGTATGGCGAACACAGAAACCGAGGGTATGCTATGGTGCATCAACCAGGAGGAATCTGACCTTCAACATACGAGACTACAAGACATTGCGTTTCAAAGTAGTGCTGACTGCTCCGAGTTTTAGGTGAACTTGTTTATCGCACCAGGTATAATCTCTGTAGCCGAACGCTGCGCTCAGGCGGCAGGCCACTTGCTGCAGTTCTGAGCGACCACTATGGATGGACATTTCAAGGGCAGGTGCCCTAGTCCCCAGCTTTCGGTCACCTCGGTCGACTGCACACTTCGTGCAGTCTGGCAGTGAGGTTCTATGGTCTGAGCATGGTGACGATGATTTTCGGAATGACGAACATCATTACTGATCTGGGCTTGGATGCTGCTAAGGTATTGTTTGTGTAGAATCTGACGTGGTGCTAGCCTGTTCGTCGAGGCGATGTTTGTGGATGCTACGCTTTCTGGGCTCAAATTTAATGACGTCCAGTCCTGAGTGTCTGCCTGGGCCCTAGTTTGCTGCATTTTGCATGGACGCTGTGCCCTGAGGTCCAGCGAAAACATGCCAAGCTGTCCTTGGCTGAGACAGTCGTTTTTGCACGTCTTCGCGCTTCTCGAACGTGTTCAGGCATGAGACCAACTATGTCACTCGCAAGCTCAATGAACTTGTGGCTCGTCTGAAAGCGGTGCACGCACGGCAACCTTGGCCAGAATATTGAAGCTACAGAGATGTCTGGCTTTGTTGCCAGGTTGTGCGAGTGTCCAAGACTGTGAGGCTGTTTGCAGATTGTGCCAAAGTTAGGGTCTCATGCAGTTGAACGAAGTTCTCAGCCGGCTGCCAGGGAGATGAGACAAGCTGACTTGTTCGAAGATTCGCAAACGAACTGGCGAAAGTCCTTCAAGTCCTTTCTTCGGAAAGGATCGGCAAAGATCAGCACGGGGCCAAGCTTTGGCCTCTGCGCATCTTCTTTAGGCTCTCAGCTCTCAGCCTCTCGATTAAGATTTGGATTGCCAGGCGACTCGGATCTGGATCGGGAACTTACTCTCTCGGAGACGGAGTTTACGCAAGTTCTGCAGAATTCCAAGCTCCTGGGAACGCAAGGATGCACGAAGGCAGGTTCCAAGCCAGTCACTTGATCTCAAGATCCTTCCCGTCTCAATCCGAGGATCCGCAACATTCTTGACGAGATTTGGCTGAAAAACGCTGTGCTCCTCCTTCCCTGGAGTCAGAGTTGTGTTAAGTCCTGCAGCCCAGGACTTGGACATTGAACTCGAAGCACGGCCAGGGATTTTCGAAGCCTTCGGGGCAGATGCGGATGGGCACCTGGGTGTCTCCGAGCTTGTGTGCCTCAACCGCACTGCAAACAGCAAGCAGCAGTCACAGTCTAACAGTCACAGCAGGAAGCACGGGAACAAATTCTCAGGTCTGGACTCATGAGGTCAGGGGCCGAGAAACGGTCCGAGCTCGGAGACGGAAGTCGCCGGGCGCCCTCTCCCTGAGGTTGCGAGGCGATCTGCAAAAATCCGATATTGCCGGCTGCCCCAGAAAAGATCCCATGTCACAATCGCTGCATGCTTGTGGAATTCCGACGAGGTGTCCGCACAAATGTCCCTGCAGACCATCGGTGAGAAGTTGAACGTGTTTCAGGCATGATGCTTGGGTCATGTGTCGCCTCTCTTTCTGCATTGTCGTGGTAAGCCAAAGGGTGTATTTGCGCATGAGGCGACCAACCTGCACAACCAGTCGAGGCTTCTCAACATCCTAGACAAGCTGTCAAAGCAGGCTTCAGGAATCCTGGCCGAACGCCATTATTGATTTGAATGTTGGCGAGTCCGGGCTCGAAGCAGCATCAACGGAAGAACCGCTCATCCTGAGGCCCGAGTCAAGTCATCTCGAACAAGTCATGAGTTGATTGCTCTGCCTCACAATGCATGCGTAGCATCGTAGTCTGCCGGTTCCGGCCAAATACCAGCAAAGGAGATTTTTGACATCAACACCACTGATGATCAATACTTACATTTTCGCCTTGCAGCACAGATTGGGTGGATTTCGTGGTTGTTTCGCAAACGGCACACTGCCGAAGGCATGTGCAACATGCCACTTACCACGATTACAGACTTGGTGTGGCTTTCTGGCTATCTTTCCGTTCCATAAAGTGGGACTTCCAGGAATTGCCAGCTCATGCATTCCGTGTGTTTTGCATGCCCAAAATAGAGGCGCGATCACAACTGCAGATATTCCATGCTGTCACGTTGTATTCGGGCACATCTGTCACTCGAGGGTTATCCGTGCTTCCGAAGAGTCTCCTGATGACAATCGCAGGTACAACCACCATGGCGACAGAAAAAGCACCTTGTGTTCGCACCCCAGCAAGGGATCTGAGGCTCAGTCCTAGTGCTGGTGAAAGAGAGTCTGCAGCCAGTTTTGTTCCTTTCCATACGCACGGCCCTCCACCCTCTCTTCTACAGCTTGCGCTCATTGGGTTGTATCTAAGCTGCTGGTGCGGTGCCTTGACAACATTCTCCTCGTTCCAGGTTGTGCATGTAGTGCTCTCCCCAGGAAAGCCGCTGCAATGAATACTGTGTCGGGCTTCATGCACAATGTCGCCGTTGAGCGGTTTCGCATGCGAAGCAAAGAGGCAGAAACCGGACCAGCAGCAGCAGTTGAAGGAGGAGGAGGAAGAGGAGGAGGAGGAAGAGGCGTCGTCGTAGTGGTCGTCATTGATGTCGTCCTCCTCTTGGTCGTTGTCCGCCCCGGGACAGAAGAGTAGCAACAGCTTGCCAATGCAGTCTGACATGGGGAGCCTTTTGTTTTTGTGCCTTTGTTTGTTCCGGAGGGGGAAGGAAGGAGGGAAAGAAGGAAGGAAGAGGGGCAAGTAAGCAACAGAGGGAGGACGGAAGGAATGAAGGAGGGAAGCAATCAGGGAAGGAAGGAAGGACGGAAGGAATACACTATACATACACATATACAGTACGGGATGATTATGCACTGCATGTATATTGTACTTTATGTAACTCTTTGGACTATTTGATTTATAACCTTTATACACATGATATATATATATATATATGTACTCTCTCTGTCTCTATCTCATATGATGTTTACGAACTATTTCCATACGATATATACATATACACATATATACATATATATGTACTCCCTCCCTATCTCATATGATGTTTACGAACTATCTCCATACGATATATATGTATATATATATACAATACATTGTAAAAAACATGCGTCAGAAATCTTCTGCGTGAACATGTGAAGTATGCTTTATGTTTCTAACCTACAATGACCATATATACATTTAGGGGGTACATACTCTTGAAATATATATATATATATATACATATGCTCGCCTCCCCCCCCAAGATCTACGCCTACGCATTCGTGGATCCTGGGGCATGGGGTGCACGAAACACTGTAATGCTCGAAAAAATCCAAAATTTCTAATCCCCAATCTCACGAAACCCTGTCTTGCTCAAAATATTCCAAAAGTTCCAAAATTCTGGCATCTATGTCCAGTTGAGCATTGCAGTGTTTTGTGAAG